CTATTAGCAAAACCATCACGCATTGGGATGTAAATGGTTATATAAAGTAAAAGTCACAAAAATAAGAATCTGAATAATTTAAATTTGAACGTTTTACAATTACACAACATTCACTTGGTAGCATAATCAGGTTAGTAGATCTAAAACATACATCTAATCTAAAAATATGATTCGGGCAAGAAAATCATTACTAAAAGAACATTGTGCCAATCTCACATATTAAATATGTAACGACTAAATCAACATAATAAATCTAGTATACTTCTCACTAGTTATCAATTCGCGATTAGATAACATATATGATTAATTTAGAGTCCATTAAGTTTCAAAAAAAAAAAAAAATTAGAGTCCATTGAAATGATCGTAAGCTTTTGAGCAATCGAGATCTAAGTCTAACCAAATAAATCTAACGTAAATTCCTTTTTAGCTTTTTGGAAAAGGAAGCAAATGATGCTTTAGGATCGAGAATCTAATTATGTCAGTCAAAGCAACCAAAAAAAAAAAAAAATGGAGCCCACGATACATAAATACAGTTTCATTATTTTCTTTTCTTTTTTAATTAAATAATAAATATTTGAAGTTTTTTGATAGGCCATTTTTTAGAGATCTTTTTTTCTCTGGACGATTTGACGAAACTTGCTTCTGAGCTCGAGTTGCTTCTCCTCCACCGCTTGGCTGGCGCGGTGGCTCCTCCAGCACCGTCACCGTCACATCTTTGCTGTTTTTATAGTCTCTTTGTTTATGTTCTCTTCGTTTTTAGTCTCAAATCTGGTTTCAGATCTGGTTTCGGATCTCGGTTATGGGCTCGGTGTTGATCGGAGGTTAGGTTGTGTGGGTTTTGGTCGGAGCTTGTGGTTGAGGTGGTGCTAGTTGTCATATGCAGGGCTGTCGTTTGGGTCAGTCTCATGGTTTCATCACTAGGTTCTCCGGTCTGGGCTCTCTGGCCAGGTTCTCCCCTCTGTGCCATCTGCTTTAGTCGGAGATAGCCTTCGGTTGGTCGGTTGTGTTCGGGGCGAGTCTGTGTCTTGATCTTGCCTTCGTCTTCTTCGTTGTTCGGTCTCTTGATTCGAAGTTTGTTATCTAGGTGGTTTGTGGTCCTCTGGTTTGGATCATTGACCTTCTTTTTGGTTCTGGTTTTTGCAGCTTGCCAGCTTGTTTAGTGTAGATGATGTGGGTTCTTTCGCTCTTTGCCGGATCTGATTGGGTACCACTCGGGGTCCGAGTTTTGGTATTGTTCGGTTTGAGAGGGTTCGCTTCTTGTCTCTACAATAGAGATCTGATCGGGATCTTGATATTTTCAAAGGGTTCTATCTAGGCGTCATCAAGTTGGAGATCGCCCGTTATCGCCATTTCCGGGAGTTTTGTTTGAAGATCTTGTGTGTTTCTTCCAGCTTGTCGGAATAGTCTCCTATGTATCTCAATTTGGTTAGGTATACTTATTCACTATGGAAGGAGCCGAATTTCGTGTGTTGGGGTCTCTTTGCCCTATCGATATGCTGTCGCGTTTGTTCCCACTTTGTTTAGTTAGATTCGTTGGCAGGGTCTGTTTAGATTAGGTTTGATCGTTAGTTGTGGTTCTTTTGATTTTATGCTTGGGACTTCATCCCCTTTATGTTTTACTTTGTTTGTATTTTGGTTTTATCCATGTCTCCCTCCCTCACGCAGGGCTTAGACTCCGCGGATTTTGTAGTCCGTCGGCTTAGTTTTCCAAAACCGTATTCCAAAAACGTATCTCACCCCTGTATTATTCCAGTGTTTGTAATAAAATCCAGATGACATAAAAAAAAAGATAGGCCATTTTTGTGTGCATCATGAAACCTAAATCTGCAAGGGTATGGCTTTTTCCAAGGTTTTTATAATTTTCAAAGTATTTTCAGTTGCTTTCTCACTAAAAGTAGTCTCTAAGAAGAATCTCTCCATATGCAGTTCATATTCACACCCAACCCACATGCTTAATTCACTATTTTTAATACATGAACCAAAAAAAAACATATCGTCTCGGCCCATTAAGGGCCCATAGTAACCCACTTAGAAGAAGAGTAAGAACCATTTTGATTAAATCATACACACAATCTTTGACCATATTACAAAAACATATCACTAATCATACACACAATCTTTCACCATATTACAAAAACATATCACTAACCATACAATTATACTACAAAACTAGCGTCATCGTTATAGTGAATTATTTTAGGTGCTTTTATGAAGTTTCTTCAAGCGAATTGACTGAGATATTCATCAACACTGGTATACTTGACATCAGGATAAAGCTTAGAAGCTTCAACACCCAAACAAGGCTCTATAGTGAAATTCGTTTGATGTCCTTTCACAAACACCGTATGGTTTATGGATAGAATAACATACACGGGAACAACAGGATACACTGCCAAAACAAACAAACAAATATATCATTTTAATTTATTCGACAAAACGAAAAAGGCGATCTTATTTTGATGATTTTTTTTCTATACCTTGGATGTTTTTGAGCACTTGTTCTTCTGTCATGTGAGTCTTCTCAAGAGACTTTCCGATCTTTTTCTCCCATAAGGTGACTAATTCGTTCATCGATAAAGTGTTCTTAGGAGGATTAACGTAGAGGGTCTTGTTCAGGGTCCTTGGATCATCCAATCCTTTGATCATGTAAGCAGCAATATCTTCCTCTCTGTTGAACACAACTACAAAAACAAACAAAAAAATTTCATCTAAGAATCTTGTTTTTTACTATTTTATTAACATTATAAATTTCTCTAAGTACGTACCTTTGGCATTTCCGTCGCCTAAAATAGTGATTTTGTCTCTAGGAGGAGAAGTAAGACGAGGTTGAAACTGAGCCAACGAAGGCAAGTAAAAACCGGCTGCGCAATTGCCAACAACGTAAGTGTATGGTATTCCTTCTGCTTCTACGATTCTTCGGATCTGTCTCTTCGCTCCAAAGACTAATGATTTCGCTGGCTCAACCGCAACTGTCTTGTCCACGTCTGTTCCAAACTCAGACGGCAAGAATCTCTACAAAACAAACAACAACAAATTTTAGTATAGTGTGCAATTTTTCCCATAATACTTTGTTTGTATAACACGAGGATTCTAGTCACCCAGTCAAATCCCCTGAGACCGTGGAGGCCTAGATATTTTTGCAAGTTAAAGTAACTGTAGTGGTCAACCATGATTGAAATCAAGGTATTAGAAGTAACGACCTTGATGTTACCGGATTCTTTAATGGCGGAAATGATCTTGGTTTGATCTAACAGTTGCTTGCGACCAACGGTTGATATAACCACATCGACCTGTTTTATTGCCTTCACCAAGCTCTCGTGGTCATTCAAATCTCCCTAACCATATAAGTACACGTTATGGTTATTGAATTTTAATGAAACATTGTTTAGTGAGTGAGAGAGTTTACACGTACGTGTAGTATTGTGACGCCAAGGTCTTTGAAACTTTTGACGGTTTTGCCCTTGACGGGATCGGAAAGAGAGGCTTCTCTAACTAGAGCGAACGTTTGGTGGCCGGATTTCGCGCTTTCTTGGACGATGAATTTTCCGATGTAACCAGTTCCTCCGATCACCAAAACCTTGCTTTTCTTCGTTGTCTCCATGTTTCAATGATACAGAGAGAATGATGTGGACTTATGAGTGAAGAAATGGCAATTTATGGACAATAATTTGTGGGTTGATTTACGATTATACCCTCACTATACATTTTGTACAATAATACCATCCACTAAACATCAAACATGGTGGACAATTTTTCTGCTCACATGATAAACATGTTCTGCTCGTAAAGTTACAAATCTACACGAACTCTAACAAAGACCATATATTCACAATATAGAGACGTTGTTTGCCTCTTTTACATCATTACTCCCACACAATCTTTGACTCATCTCTCTCTTTCTCTCCCAACTTAAATTTTACTAGCTCGCGGTCAAATCTCTTTTGCCTCGACTCTCGGACTCGATCCAAACAAAATTAAAAAAAATTAAAAATCCACACCTTAACATGTATATAACACATACATACATATCTAATTTACATGTGTTTTGTTCTTGCTAAACTCTAATTCATATGTATGAACAAGTAGGAAACGGAATTAAAAAGGTAATCAAACGTTTATGCAAGGAAGTTAGCAAGTGAGTGATGAAGAGCGGGTTTTATCAACCCTAAGTTGTAACAAAAAGTCTTCCATAAATGTAATATAACGAAAACATATATTTTCCAAAAAGTATAAATCCAAACTTCAAGTTAGTAACCATCCTTTTTATTTGAGAAAAAAAAAATAACAATAACATTTTAGGTAATTCCAAAGAGGTAAGTGCGTGTGAAAAATATGTAAAATTTGTGAGATGTATTTTTTGTGGTTGTTGACATTCCAAATGAGAATTACCTTAGATTCATATTTACGATCACTCACTAGAATTTACATGATAAAATAAAAAGGTAAATGAAGATTAATATCGAATACACGGCAAAATTAATTTTGTTGTAATATTACAAATTCTTTGTTTTTGTTTAGTAAGATTTGATTGTTGTTTGTTACTTGTATTATGAACTTACCAGAGTGGGCACTCCTTTGAGTACTAGACTTTCTCAATTGGTTCTTGATAAGAACGCAAAGCTCAAGAACTTTATGGACTCTAAATCATGGAAGAAATAATGGATAATGATACTCATTGCACATTCGATCGAAAATAAAGGTAAAACCAAGTGATTAGG